TTCAAATTGCCCATCAACATACTATTTTTGCGACACGGTAATAAAACGCCGCACGCAGAGGGATACATTTTTGGCGTATCCAGTACCCCCTGTGCGTACGCATACATCCGCGTCCGCATTTATTTCTGGGCTGATTAACTTTGAATTATGAATGAGCTCATTAATACAATCATAATTAGCTGCAAAGTATCACCACAATTTTAATAATACAAGCTTCATTTCGTCCACCCAGACTTTCATTATCTACGGAATTGTGTTCCATACGTTCAAAGGTCAATGATCGTGAAAATTCATCCACATCATGGAAACGAGGAGATTCTTTTGGAACTCGTCGCATCCGGAGGGTCTAGTTAAAAACTCGGCCAGCCAACATTATCTCGAAAAATCGTCTCCAGCACCACTCGGTGTCCGAATCCCGAGAAAACGTCAGACGCATCGTTTTCGTACCGGACGGGCTCCTACTACCCCATCGCCCTCTCGGTCTGTACAGGACGGAGTAACGCAGCTCGGGAGCACGTAGCGGCGCTCAAGACGCTCGGTAGCCCATTTCGCGCGGTACGTGCGCCGTTTTCCATGGCTCTAATTTTCGGATCAGCAGCTACGCTCCTCCGCGCTGAGGCCCTTTAGTTTTTCGTTTCCCTCGGCGCTTCCCCCCCATGTGCTCCTCGAGAGCTCATATACGCTTCTGGACGTTTTATATACCTTACTTGCACTCCAGGGCCAGGAGAAAGAGGTTCTAATCTCACGCGAGAAGATTAAAAGCCCTTCCGCCCCTTGTTTCGATCAAAATTTCATTCGATTGGAGAACGCGTTGCAATAAACTCACGAGCTGATGTCACCGGGCTATAATCGATACAACAGTCGTGCTGAAAAAAAACTCCCCGACTCGAGTGCCACGCGATTTATTAAGACTCTCCTACACCCACTCGACACGAGATAAGCCGAAGACGTAGGGGAGGGAGAGGAATTGCTTTCCGGCGCCCAATAACTCCAATTTTTCTCGAGCCGAATCTGTCCCCTGTACTTGCTCTCTGCTTCCTCTCATCCTTTTATACTCCCTCTTCCTCCCCGCAGTCTGCTTCGAGTCTGCCCCCCCCCCTCCCGTCCGTGCCGTAGTTACGCTCGACCGAGCTTCTTTGCTCACCCCCTATAACTCCACGCTTAGGTGGGACGAGGAGATGGAGAAGTAAAGAGGCTTTCGGCCACTTTGACGTCGGGACATCTGCATAAAAATTTGCCGCCAGAGGCCACGGGGGAAGCTATAGCTGGCGCGCCCTGGCTCGGAATTTTATCCGCTGCTGGCACGATGCTGGTGGAGAGAGAGAGGAGGACAGCGCCGAACTCTCAGCCAAGTTTTCACCTCCGAAAGGGGTGGGGGCAAGTGGGCTATTATACACTTTTTTCAAGAATTTACATTCCGGCGAAACGTGTCGAGATTCAGTTTTCAGCCCGAAGGCTGGCCCCAGTCCGGAGAGCTGCTCTGCTTTTAATAGCCCCGGCGACACGTGCTATCCTCTCCCCCCCCCCCAAAGTTTTANCGACTTAATTATTTTAAAAAAATGAAAAAAAAAACGTATCGAAAAGGTGAATCTAATTTTCTCACGCCTCCACGCAAAACCTGTAAGTAAAACGCTCGTCTTAATCAACTCAACGCATCTTTTGACACACACTCGAGAGCCATTCGCAACAATTATATCGAGATGGCAAATCGTTGACTCGCGCGTGTCGTGTGAACTTTACCATATGTGCATTTGTAATCCCCTGTACTCGTAACAATGAATTTTTAGCGCACAGTCTCGGGTATCACTTCCACTTTCTTATACGTGTTAATATCGATTTTTTTGTTAAATAAAACGGGAGAGAGAGCGTATATTGTATACACACCGCGAGTAAATCACGTTTGAATCTCAAGCGGCGAACAGAGAGGAAACGAGGGGTAAAGGGAGCGTGGACCAGACGTAAATTCAATCGAGCGAAGCCAGGGCCAAATTGAAAATAATAATTAGACGAGATTGGAGCTGCATTCCGCAGCAGCTTGATTTTCGCCAGGCGAGGGGCGACAGACGCCTCGATATTGGCAGGAGAGAGACGAAGCCTCGGGGCGGCGGATAAATATTTCGCCCCCTCATAATCTCGACGCCCTCATCGGGACACGTCGTCGTCGTCGAGTGGTACAACCACGGCTACACTGTACAGTAATATCAGAGCCGCGGAAAGGAGAGATCGGCTCGTAATCCTTCCATTCACTCGTTAAGTGCGAATATGCGTCTATACATATGTATACCCTATACGATGCTGCGTACAGGTACACCGACGCGCATAGCCGTGGGAAATATACGTATATGCACGCGCCTCTGTATACTGTGTATTTTTCTCTTTCTTTCTTTCTTTTTGCAATGGAAAAAAAAAAGAGAGATAATCGCGCATCCGAGCGTGCTTGTACTTTCCTCCTCTCTTTTGTAGATTATTCGCGCGCGTATACACCTTACTTACGCGCCAGCAATTCATCACTCGCTGTTTGTTCGTACGAACAATTAAAACGCCCCGTACTTATACTCATGTATATATATATGTACATATGCATACGCGCACAACACGTATACTTGTTGAGAATCTAGAAAAGCCAGCCGCAAATCGCTCTTTGATTGTCGACGCAAGTACGCCCCTTTTTTACGCCACTTGATGGGCCTTTGTGTGTGTACCTACGTATTGAATGAATAAACAAAACGCGTATAAATGAGTACATAATACATATAGGCTCTCTTCCTTTCCACTCCTTTTGTCCTCATTTATATATCTTTTTTTTCTTTTCATAAGAGAAGCGCGACGATTTTAGTTTGCGTCATATAGAGTGTGTTGGGTGCTTTTGATTTCGAGTTTCTCTTTTTATTGGGTGGTGCGCACGAGTTTCAATTTTTTTTTCTTTTCCATGCAAATTAAAACCATCTGCTATGTAGCAGTCCTTTTGAAACTTGGGTGTATCTACATCTATATTGATAATTGGTGTTTTTCCGGGTCACAACTACAGCGATCCCTTTTTCGTGTCGCAACGGCGACAAGACCCCGTGAAATTTCACTCTCTCCAAGTAGAAAATCGTAATTCACGGGATACCCATACTTTTTCCTCCGTCAATTCGCCACGTAGCGTATGCATATAGCTTATTATATCTTTGCTTTGTTCGCTACGCGTACGTATACAACACGCACAATAAACCATTAGACGCCATTTACAGGACAATGAAAGCTAGACACAGCCCCCATAATCTATGAGCATTATCTCATTGACCCAGAGATAGGTACAGTTTTCACCTGCACGCTCTCCTCTACTTAATCGACCCTGACCCCATAATCCTCATATAATCTACATACAAATGACCAATAAGTGTACAATACAGCGCAATACAGTATACGCACAGTTTCGCGTGTACTCGTGGTAACTATATATACATATATCCGCTTTAGCCGTAAACACCGTGGCATAAATCATCCGAACGACTCAATCCACACCTCGAAACGACGACTGCGAACGACCTCTCCCTCGATAAGTACACCGCCCGTATGAGGGAGGAAATGAAAAAAGAGACCAAAACTCCTCCTCCGTCATATTTCAAGGGCTGGCGAACGAAAATTGCCCAACCTACCACCGTACCAACAAGGAAAAAATCTAATAACACCATAAATTATATTCGTCAAGATAGGGGGGTTTTTTTTTGTCCACGGTATACTAAAAGGCTAAAGCGCAACTAACCCGCTTTGATTAACCAAACTGCCCTAAACTACCCTTTAATCTTCTCGGGAGCCGATGTAACAACGCGCGCCTTCGCGTATACCTACACCCTATACTTCTTCGAGGAGAATCAAGCAGAAGGAGTTCAACCAAGTTAAACGTAGTGCCGTATATGTTACCGTCACGTGGGGAGCAGTATAACACACATTGGGAGGAAAGAACGCGCAGTATGGGAGCGTTCCGGAGGAAGTGCTGTGCATACAATATTATTATTATTATGTTATACGTTATACGGATGTATATGCGTGTAGAAAACGAAGACGGTGGGTACATATATAGGAGCTAACCGAGCGCGGAGTTGCCCGAAAAGGCGAGGTTCGTATATTATACCTACGAACCGCGGCGAGGAAAATGAAGTTGCGCCCCGTCACGGTTGTACTTGCGTTTTCTTTTCTGGCAAATTCAGGTCAGGTGTACTAGATGATTACGCGCGTAGACGTTCCCAAGAGATTTTGAGGCAAAGTTCACATTTTTTAAATTAAATTACGCAAATACAAATTCGAAGGGTTTTATAGATAAACTTCAATATATACGGTGTATATAGTTTGTAAGTGACTTATTATAGGGGTTTTTATTTTAACTTCACCAAATAGATTCGAGGAAATCCGACTCACATCTCCTCCAAGCGTGTAATACGCATCACCCTCGGGTCTCGCGTGGTACATTGACAAACAAAAAAAAAAAACAAAAAAAAACTTCTAATCCGTATAATCGCATTGAAACGTCGGTCGACCAGCTCTACAATAGGGCGACAAATAAAACCTCCACTCGCCACGAGCTCGTATAGCTCGGCCGAGGAGGAAAAAAGAAAAAAAAAAAAAAAAAAAAAAAAAAAAAAAAAAAAAAAAAAAAAAAAAAAAAAAAAAAAAAAAAAAAGTAGATACGGAAAGATATGGACAGACGCCGCGACATTACAGTCGGGGTTTAACAAACCCACCCGGGCACTGAGTGCATTTACTCTCGCCTAAAAGAAGTAGTGCATATTATATATGTACACGCGCATGTACACAGAGATGCATCCATCTGTTCTCTCGGTATTCCTGTATCCGTTTTGTACAAAAGTATAAAAAACAAGCTGGGGCAGGGCTTGGTGTATGTGTCACTGGGTCACCCGCGACAGATTTTATGTACAATGTATATGCATGTATATAGAATGAGCTTGTGTATGCACGGTCGAATGACGCATGTGTGTTATTGTTTGCGCCTGTTGCAGGGACGCGAGTCCGAAGCAGTGCTGCGGCCTGGGTTCACCGCCGGTGCGCTGGTCCATCTTCGGCGTGGGTGTCGTCGGACTGGTGTGCGCGAGCGCGGGCGCTCTGCTTGGCGGGCTCAGGGCCACCGGCCGCGACCACATAGCCGTCGCCCTCCTCATGATTGGTGAGTACTTACCCTTTTTTTTTCCATTATGGTACCGTTGTTGCGTTGAAAAATCAATGCGCCTGAGGAAGAGGGCCCCCCCAAAGTCAAGAAGAAACTCCATCTGTTGTACAGGGGGAGTTGGTAATTTCGATGCACCACCACGTTTAGCCCGCGTGATTGCGTTTCACTGCGGCTTGATGATCGTGCTGTATCGCGCGGCGTGCCCGATTGACTTACGATACTTGAGAGCGAGTCTGGGAACGCAGAGACCATTTTTTTTTTTTAATTTCTGTAGACGTGTATTTGTTGGTACGGGAAGCAACAAAGATATTTCTGTGCACGCGAATAAGACTTTGCCCATCGATATTTCAGTATATCGCGTTGCTTGGGAAAAATAAAGGGATACGATTCAACTGTACGCGATTCGACAAAAGAAGAATATCCAATAGTCCTCTTTGAGTCACTATCGGGACTCTTTTCTCTCATCTACAAAATTCGTACTTATCTATACGTGGACGTGCTCTGCGATAACGTGACCTGGATAAAGCGAGATGTACATTTTACCTGAATTAAAAAAAAAAAAAAATGTATGCAAATGAAACACATCCCTAAACACACACTAGTTTGGTGAAAAAAAAAAAAAAGGCCAAATTACGCACGCACGGGATGATAATGATAATGAGCATCACCGCCGAGAGCGGGGCCGAGCCCCGGAAACCGGGACGCTGATGCATTTTCGTCCTTGACCCTGCGCCAACGGTACAGTGCGCAACCGAGCGCCCGAAACTTTCCGGGGCTCGTCCTCTCGACGGGCTGCTGGCTTCCTTGACCCACATTTCGCGCGACCGAAAGAGAGACGCGAGAGCTCTCGTGTATACATACCGTAACGCTCGACGCACTGACGTATGCAGCTACACGTCGTATATATTATATGCACGCTTTTCTGGTCCTCCTCGATACATTTACCCTCGTTTGCTCGCGCGACCTTCCCCCTTTTTTTCTTTTTCAAAATGCACTTTGGAAGTCTAGTTTTCTCTGTTTTTGCATCTCGCGTGAGCTGTGCTCCACTTACTTTTTTTTTTTTTTTAATTTAATTTTTGTTGTTTGTATGATAATTAATACCTCGCCAGTTCGGTGGTAGTCAGTTTTTTCATCCAATCGAGATTAATTGATAATTGGCTTCGATGAAAAAGCAGCGGCCCGAGGGTGTACTTATAAATATAACCCAAGCAAACGTGAAATTACGAGTAAGCTCTCGAATTTTCTATTTGCGACGAAAATCCTAATTACTTCGGTGTAAAAGTCCTCGAGTCTCATTTACCGATGATGACAGCTCTTCCTAATTAGAGGAAAAAAGTTTCCAATCTTGATGCACCAATTAATCTTTTCCACCGTACCGTGAAACCTCGCGATATCAAAACTTTATGAAAAAAATCTAAAGACTTTCATTTAATGCCTCGTAAAAATGTGTAAAAATCATCACTCGGACTCTTTTCGCGTACATTTGGGACATCCAACTAACCCCCGCTTGGGGAGTTTTGCGCCTCGCGTTTTTTCAACCCCGAAAAAGCTGTATTAAAACCATCCGAGTCGGCGAAACAACTTTGCTCGCGCTCCGTTGGAAGTAACTATATACGTGCTCGAAACGACCCCAGAGCAAGTGGAGTAAGTGAAATTCCGGCTCAACCAAATTGTGATAAATGAAGTTTCTCGCCGTGAGTAATACAAGCCGGGCTGAGCTTGACACGTACCTCTGTAGTATTAGCTGGCACTGCGTAATACCATACTACTTTGTGTGTCGTTTGACGATGTACATTCATAATTTATTCCTTACTTCCACTTATAGCCATCAAGTGTTAAACATATCAAACGCTTTATTTCGGTAAATCGGCACTTATCGTCATAACTTTTGTAGCTGTGTCCCGCTAAATCAATTGGAAACGTGTGTCACGGGTGTTAAATAAAAAATAAAAACAATTCGTGCTGAACAATATAAAAAGATTATCTAAAGAAAATTTCAAGACTTCAGCCCCCCCCCCCCCCAAAAAAAAAGCATATTCGAGACGCGGAATAGACAATCAATCCAACGTGGCACACATGAATATTTATCGAGCAATAAAATCAAGCGAGTCCAAGCGAACGTATCCCCCCCCCCATCGAGCGGTGTGCGACATAACTCGAGTGGCACGAAAAATCTGATATTTCCCTAATCCCGACATGAATTCATCCCTCACGCGCGGGCAGTTCCCCTCCCGGGCGAGGGGCATTTACATCGGGATCCCCTTTCGTGTTACTCACGCACGCGGGCACCAAAAAAAAAAAAAAAGGGGGGCGATAAAACACCGAATAAAAGCCCACAGGGAGAACCTAATCGCGGAAGCCGCCCGATATGTATACGCGTCGCTTTCCTTTTCCATCGAGTTTCCGAGCGCACACACGAGCGTTTAAGTACGCGTGTGCGAACGCGGTGCATCAATAATTCATATACCCGCGCGCTTTCTAACGCCCGCAAGGGAGAACGAAGGAGGACGGGGGGGGGGAGGGGGGAGCTGGAAAAAAATGCATTCGTCCCTCCCGTGTATAGTATGGGCGATGACGCTGGATACGCTCTCCTTTTTAATGCGCATCTTCTCGCCACGCGGAGACGAGACAGAGAGAGCATTTTAAAAACTCGGGAATTAATATTGTTGTTTGCCTGCTGGTTGATGCGTGTACACCCCCCTTTTTTTTTAGCCGAGTCTCTTCTAAGAGACTCCCGAGACCCATTAAATCTCGTTTGATGGGTATGTGGTGCACGGCATTATATTGAAAAGTTCCTTTACGATTTCAGTACAAAAGCAGATCTGCGTTTGATGTTGGATGATGGTTTGATGCTCTGTTTTTTCGAGTTGCTTGTGAATGTTGTAACTTGCGAGTGATATTCTCGAATTTTTTCACAAGAATATGCTTTTTCTTTCTCTCATTGTGCAAGTAGGACTACTTTGGCATCCAACAATATTTTACCACAGCACATAATTATGTATATGTTAATGAAGGAGAGCTACTTAAGTACACTCGGAATTTTTTTTTTTTCTTTTTTTTTTGCCTCATGTAAATTTATACATCGACGACAGGTACTTTGGCTGAGTTCTAATCCACAAAGAGAAACGAGGGCGACGGCTTTTCCCAGCTGCTGCTCACGCTATGGGGAGAGAAGTTACGTACAGCTCGAAAAATCGTCTTTTTTCGAGGCCACGGGGTTTTTATCTCAAATGTTTATTTCAATGATAAAAAGGTGCAGTAATTATGGTAAAATACGATGCATTAGTTAAATATCCCTTCAAAGTCGAGCCATTGTGGCTACCAACTTATTATAGCAAAAAAAAAAAAAAAAAAAAATTGTTCACTAATCCAAATGAAAAGAGCTCATTTTTGATATCCATGATAAAAAACACAAGTGGGTATCCGTAACAGAGGAGGTAAGCAAAAATGCACATTTAATGTTCTAAAAGCCCCCACGTCCGCGTATAGTTACGCACAGTGTATTCGCATTACCTGGTGACGTGCAGGCAAGGGGAGCCCAACCCACGAGTTGGTTATTCGAGGCCATATCGCATATATCTAGATAGTTGCGCGCAATGTATGTATGAAGTATGGGTAAACGAATGCATACACGCGAAAATATATGTATTTCATGCGAGGTCTCTGACAGCCTGCACTGCTCTCACGTCTGTGCGCCTCTTTTCAGCTTTTCCAATGCATGTATATACATATAACACGGATCTCTCTCTCTTCTCCTCATCCTCGACGTTACGTATACGAGCATCTGCGCTCGATTTCCACGTGCAAAACAGCAGCCCTGCCTCTCCATCTCGTACTCTTTTTTTTCCCAATTCTCTTCCTCTCGATATTTCAGCCGCCTCCTCCTCCTCCGGAGCTCCTCTTTTTCTCGATTTCTCATTACTATTCGCTTTGTTCCCTCTGCTTCGCTCTACGCGTACACGCGTACGTACTCGTCGTGCCGGCACATAGGCTTTTTCATTATTTACTTTTTTTTTTTTCCGATCCTGCTTACACGAACGAGGATCGAGGAGACTGGGCGAGTGGTGTAACCAGACGAGTTATTGATTTTGTTTCGGAAAATAAAGCAAATATATATACATATATTGAGCGCCAATTGGTTTTTCTCAAAAAAGCTTGTTTGCACAAAGAAAAACAAACAACACGCCCATCAATAACTTGAAATACTAAAATTTCCTACATTCGATATCGAGGTTTACTGCATAAGAGTAGGTATATAATATGTACGTGCAATAAAATTCCACGGCCGTGTATCTTAGGCACGTATATTTTCTCTTATTCCTTTTGAATGGTAGTTTACTCCCCATTAAAGGGCCATTATTTCATCCCGATTGCCTGCAACGATCACTCAACGTACTTGTAATTACCAGAGCTACCGTGAGGACGAAACAAACATCTTTTTTTTTGTTTTTTCGCACAAAATAAGGGCACATTAAAGCTACGTCCGATACGACGCCCATATGCACACACGGCTTTTCCGACTTTTCCTCCACGCGATCGAACTCGTCGTCTCTCCATCCGGTGGCCGCAGCAACCTCACACTTTCTTGCGAGTGCTTCTTTTTTTTTTCCCTTCGTATGCTTCATCTCCCGCTGGATATGCCTGTCGACACGAGCCCTCGTACTTGATACGCGTTGCAGGTCGACGAGGCGCAAGTCCTGGGGATATTCAGAGTCGCCCCCCCCTCCCCCCTGAAGGAGGAGAGAGGAACGCGTAGATCGTCGCGCCTCGTTTGCAGGCTGATAGCATAATCTCTCACCCCCTTTCTTCTACAAGACTATCTATATGTGTGAGAATGAGTTGCTCTACACTGCATATATTTTGTACTTATACCTACGTGACTACTTCTTCCTCATTCTTTCCGTTCATTTCGCTCGGTCGAAAAGATATTTATTAATCGAGTGTGACGCTGATGGCATGGTTGACAGGAACGACACGGAGGTGTGCATTGGTTCTTT